TCTTCAGACTGAAGCTCTAAGTCTGTGGTCCTGCAAAGATCACAAGATTAGACTGCTCAGTTCCAAATTAGCAAAGTTGTTTAACCCAGAGTTAAACAGGTTTAATAATCTGTTTTAAGTAAAACACATTCTATCATTTTTTTAGGGGGAAAATGGGTCTGGGTTCTTATGATTAATAATTAGAATATAATATATTATTTATTTAAACCTTTATAACTGAATAAGATTTGATGTCGCCCTTACAGGTGACTAACTACTGAGGTCACAAAAACAGCAACATCAGTTGAGTAGAAAGGGGTGTAACTCCAAGGTATAGAAGAGGTATATAGGGTGAAAGTATTTTATTTTAAGTGATGGTTTCTGCTTTAGAGACGAGGAAGTGGCATACCAATAGATTGACTTTACTTCTTTATCATACTATCAGTACCTTTTTGCCTTGATTACTTAAATATGTTTGTTTTTTCATTGTAATTTTGGGTTGCCGTTCCATCTCATTCTTTTCAGTGTTTTTGAAAATGTAAATATATATGAATAACATACTGTTACTGTACAATGTATGGAGAATTGAGCCTCTATTTTCGATTGGTGGTTAGAAGTGCCGGTGTCTTCGAGTAAGATCAAATGAAGAAAAGTCATCTCTGGAAAAGAATTAGGGATAATTCCATATTTTGAGACAGCTGACATGAATCACTGACTCTTAGAATTAAACATGTGCCCTACTGCCTGATTTGGCATGCCAACATGATGATTATCTGACAACATAATGAAAACATTGAACTGCTCGACAGTCAACTGTCTTGAAATATTTGTCTCTACATTTATTGTCTGTTACCATGCAATCCAGTGAGTTTTTTAAATGTTGGTCTGATTTCAACAAAAAGAAATACAGGAATGGCTTTTAAATTGGTCTTCAGTGCAGGACTTATGGCTTTCCCTTACGATTCACAGTTTGCCCAAACTCTAACCTCAAACTGATCAATTAGCAAGTCGGGTGGCTTTTGTTTTTATCGCAGTGCATGCTGCAGGCAGGACTTAAACCGACCACTCAAATGCTGAGGGGAGAACTACAGCGATGGGGAATTTGTGAGTGAAGGCATCCGAGGACAGAGTGGAGCTAATGACCTGATCTGAAAATACTAAAGAGACCGACGGTGACAAGAAAAAGAAGCAGACACTTGGAAGTGGAAAAGTGGTGGAGTGAAAAATGGTGAAAAAATGAAATGTAGGTACTTTCTAGGTGCAATGATAAAAATACCAAAAACCAAAAATCCAGAACTGGGGACAAAAAAATGTTTGACTTAGAACATTATAAGTCAAAAAAGCAAAATGGGGCATCCTGTGGTAAATATCTAATAATAGTATTTAATACACTCAATTAAGGAACTAGGCTACATATAGAAAAAATTGTCTTTGTGGTTGTAGCTTTTCATTGCTAAGGTAAACTAGGTAAATTGGGTAAAGCTAAACAATGTTTTATATATATGAAAAACAGGAGAAAACTGTCCATATCGTAGAGAAAACATGGAGTAGCAAAAGCCATTGTTCATTCAGTAATCGCTTATAGGATATCCACCCAGCCATTTTCCAGGAAACATTATTAGTAAACTAACTTGTTTCCCTCCTTTCTCAAATATTCCAAAGTTTGACATCATCCAGATAAAGTATGTTACATTGTTTAAGATTCAAATAACATATTGTGTGATTATCCTTTACTGAAGTTTCCAGAATGGCAAAGTAAACTCAAGTGTTGATCAATTATTCTTGAAGGAGACAGCAGCTGAACTCAGTGTTAGTCCACTAATCAGTATTAGATCGCACGGGAAGTGGCATCATAAATGGGGTAAATGTAGTATGGTTACCGTCTTTTATGCTTCGTTTTATTTTGTTGACCAGCATCTCATTTTGGCCTCACGGCAATGTAATTTTCCAGGTCATTTCAGTTGTATTCTGTTCACTGTCGTTCAATTTGTCTCTCTTAACTTTCTTCTCTCAAATGTCTCATTCAAAAGATTGAGATGGGATCCAGTAAAAATGATCATGGGTAGAATAAACTGGAATAACACACACACACATGCAGAAAGCTCTGCACGCCACAGTCATAATTGCCCTTTTAGTAATACATTATCTGAGCTCCTATTTGAGGAAGGAACCACGGCACTGTGGCTTCTCCAAACATATCTGCATTCCCCACCAAGCCCACACATTTACACCCTCATAATAAGCTTTTGGCTCCTGTGTTTGTCCAGGGAATAGACAAAGGTCGACAGCTAAGACATGATTGTGCTCTTTTTTGTTTTTTTAAAGGAGGAACAGACGGTGAGAGCCAGAGATTTGGCTGGAAGAATGAGTTAGTGGTTTGATGAGGAAAATATCTAAGTATAAAACCGACATTTATGGTTTTTAAAAAAGGCAATTGTATCCTTACTTTTTCCAGAATTCCCTTGGTCATAATTTTCTTTCTTTTTCTATTGTATTTTTTTTCTATGTCTGTGGCTGCACCATAAAAAACTGAAAATGGAGTGATTGGAAAGAGTTTCATATCTGTGCAACAAATCCTAATCTTCACCAAACAGTCAAAGCTGGAGGTGTCTATTTTTTTAACACATACATGTTATGTCTGGATTTAGATTCAAGCTTATGGTTTCAAATGAAAGGTTTTACTTCCTAAACGTTTTCCATGTTAGAATGAATGAAGAATTTTTGTAAATCTGGACACCAAGCCTTGATGTATGTAGGATTCTTTAATATCCCTAAAACCAATCAAACACCAACAACAATGGCAAACATGAAGTTAAATGATATCTATGATATCTTCCCTTATCAGTTTTTAATACCACTCATTTTCATCACATGTCAAAATTATAGCCAGTTCATTAACAGGGATATCTCTTCCTAAAACTTAATTTGCCAATGAATAACATAACATTACAGTGAAAGACTAATGACTAATCACCTACTTCATCTAATGCAAACTCGCTTTAAAAAATAAATTGAGGATACATTTACTCACCCTAAACGTAATCCATCTTAAATTCTGTCCATTTTCATTTCAATTCTACAGCAGAATGATTCAACCCAAATGATTAGATTACACACTTTGCAGCAGAAACCTAAACCCAGTAGTGTCTTTTCTCATATTAATGTGGCTTTGCGTTACATTTCTTTACAAAACTCCACCAACAGGCTTCAATTAGTCTCTTTTGATTATTTTGGAAATATTATTTTGCTTTTTAGGTCCACAACATGTGAAATTTGAATACAAGTCTTTCATTCTTCCTTTGGTTGAGGTTATGTTTCCTCTTCCAAGAGAACAGTTTCTGTTGAAATTATGATAACCTGGAATGGAACAATAATGACTACAAGCTAACTGCTCTGTTAAAAGGAAAGGGCAGGATCGATAAGGGCCATTGATCTGGATGAAGGAATGCTCAGCTTGAGAATTGCTGCTGGAATTAAATTCTATGTCTTACTTTCTACATTTTTGGTGGTGGAGCTCAATGTTGAAAGCAAAAAAACAGCTGATGCTAAAGCTAGGTTCAACACTAATATGAGATTTTGTTTATTATTGTTGAGATTAGATGTAGATTATGATATGTCTGATATCTGACGGTATCCCCATTCAGTAATAAACATCTCTACACCTGGGACGCCGAAATGAGTCCCAGGATCTGTGGACACAAGACGAGGAAGATTGTTCACCACAATCAGTCTCCTTGTGCGCGAGTGGATTTGAGGATTGTGACATGTTTACTTCTTTTAAATCAATAAAAGGAAATGAGAGAGTAAATAACAGCCTCATAAGCATGAGTCAGAGACACTAATGTTATTGAACCTGTTCTAAAATTCCCCAACTGCAATTCATGAAACGTGGCTCATTGGAAATTAAGCACTTTGAAAGCTTTGGCCATTTTAATTATGTTAGCACTAGAAAAGCTTCTCATTAAGTGTTGATCATGGAAAATTTGCCTATCCCCAGACAAGAGACACCCACAACAACAAATGATGTGTGAATCCTGTTTGCGAAACAGTCATCTGGGAGCATAGAAAATGAAGGAGTAGAGCCCATGAGGGACAGAGTTTTGCAGGAATTTTCTTATAAATTGACAAAACCAATCGCCTAAATGTAAGTAAACGGGCTTTTGCTTTGAAAGTCATCCTCTGTTTTTGTTTACTGAGACATTAAATCTTCACTAAATCCAACTATGGAGTAAAAAAAAACCTCAAATGAGTTGCTGAGTGTTGCTGAAGCTCTGTTTGGATTCAACAAACTGACATGCAAACCATGTCGAGACATTATTTTGTCTAAATACAAGAGAAAACACACTTATATGTTCCAGTTACAAGATACTGTTCTCCCAATGTGAGCAATGGATGAAGTTAAATCCTAATTACAGATCCTGAGAAATATATCCCAAGTATCTCCAAACCAGTGAAAAAATACCACCATCGTGACCAGTTTATTCCACCAGTCGCCACCTTTTTTCCCCCACACTATACATCAACTGTGGGTTCAAAACTGATGCACACCAGAGATTTTTCAGCCTGAGGGATAATAGGGGGAGGACTGTTGGATAACCTGAGGGTGTCAGTGTTCAGACATGTTTATGAATCAACCACGTCCACATTACACATTAAACCTCAGCCCTTAAATCAGAATCAAAATCAGAATCAGAAATACTTTAATAATCCCAGAGGGAAATTATTTTATTTTAAAGCCACCATACCCAGCTCCTCTCAACATGGAGCCTCAAAACATCAGCGATTCCCTCATGAGAGCATAACACGAAGGTCATTAACATCTGTGGAAAGTTAGAGCAGATGAAGAGGCCAATGGTGGACTTCTGGCTAA